TGATAGGGGATGATAAACAGTTGCTAAAGAATGGTAGAAAGCGCTGAAAGGAACGACCTACTAGCTCGAATATCCCCACCCCCACTAAATAAGTTGTTGGGAATATTTGTGGAATATTTCCCCCAGTCATGTTGAATCAGCTGTTGTATTAAAATCGGAAGGCTGGGGATAGCCGGGCGTTCCGAATTCGTCATAGAAAAAAGAGCCTCGCGTGAGCCAGCAAATCCAACTGGTGTGTCAATAACTAGTCTAATCGTACATGTAAGTGCTTTGCCCCACAACCAGATATGTTGCCTAACCCAAATCTCCGCCGTTTCCTCCACCTTTCGTAGAATTTTGGTGCAAAATGTTTCTAGGCGACGATCAGCTGTACTTCTCGTCAAATATTTCTTTAAAAGCCCGTTTAAATGATCTATACGATTGCTTTACGAAACCCGACAACAGCAAATTTTGTAGTGCACAGCTTTCCAATGTTTACCCAGCGACTCATGACATTTGCCCAACAACATTTGTTATCTACCCTGGCACACCACAGGATGTCCGTTTTTCTACTATTCACTTTCGATTGATGGCTTAGTCTCCTGCCGCAAAAATTGGATTTCTTCTTATGGGGAATTCTCGATATTTGCAAATTGTGGTGGGTAATTTGCTCTTCTCTGGGTAAAAACCTTGGTGAAAAATTGTTCACTTGGGTTGATACAGATAATTCCTATTTTTTCAGTGGTTTCCTAGAGTTCTTGGATTTTCGAGGGATTGCTGGACCGTAGTTGTGGGATTATAAACATTCCGGAGTTTCGAGATGTACGCCGATGCTGCTGCGAAATATTCCTCATTTGGGCGCATCCATAGTAGTAGGTGCAGCCCTCGGCACCCCGCGTGCGCCATGCGGCACCTACTATGAACGCGCCGGCTGCGTTCTCTTCGTTATAACCTGACCGAAAGTTCTCAAAGACGTCAAGACTGGGTAGAACGTTCTTGTGTCTCGTCTATCTTGCTGCTGCTTGCTGCTTGCTCATTAATATCGACAGAAATTCACAACTACATCTAGTCATTCCTTCATAGCTCAACTTCCATTAGCTCCTTAAGTTGCATAGGCTGACCATTAGTTTAGTGATTTGCTCTAAAATCATGGTACTCCTGATTAAGAATTGCCTAGCAGTAGCTGGGAGTAAATACTGAAATAATTGAATTAATCCAGCCCAATTCGTGAGTGGCTGACATTGGTGCGTCCTCTCCATGCAAAGGAATAGCTACTCTTTGTTAGCTCCATGCCCGTGACGTTGGATACAATCTTTAGACCCACCTTCCGTACATTTATACTTCGGGAGAAACGAGCATACTCAATAGTTTCGGCTTCAGGGAAACATGGCTGTGAAGGGATGATGCCTGCTATGGTCGCTTTCCCAAGTATAGCTTAGGTTTCCTATATGGCAGTTCCGCCGAATACGGCTTTCTATTTGGAAATATTCCAAGTGATCGATTACAAAAACCCATTCCCTCACTGTTGAAGTTGGCTAAGGGCCGGAGTTTTTACGCGCTATTATGTTTAAGTGGTCAACAAGGAACAATGCTTGTTTGACTCAGATGGTGAGAGGTAAGGAAGTAGCGGAGACACAGACAGAACTCTCAACGATCTGCGGGTGTCGCAGTGAAGGCCACAAGTGGGGCTGAAGGATCTGTTGGGTGGAAATTGGAGTTCAGTTGAGCATGATCGTTCGGATAGTATACGAGCAAGACTGAGCTGTTCAGAATTACCTCAAATCGGTTTCACCCACCCAGTATACCCCCGTTATGCTGTTGCCCTAAGAGTTCATTAACAGGTCGAACTCCTTCCCACAAATCGTGGGGGTTGGGGGTCCTTGCCGATGCGTGGGCTTCATTCAGGGTACTTGTGCTGCTCAGTTATGCGGCGGGTGTGTAGGGGGGGGGGTATGGGTGTGTGTTAGGGTTACTGCGTAACACATTCGCGGGGCTTTGTAATCCTTTACAAAGTAGACCCCAAAATCGGGTTTACGATGACTCTTGAAATTCTGCATTTACGGAACAAACAATTTCAAAACGGCTAGTTACCTAACTAATGGCTTGTGAGTTTTCTGGTTAACTAAGTAATGATTCTGAGACCGGATTCATCTTTTATGTAGCAATCTTCCATGTGTTTTCCCGAATTATGAAATTTTCAAAACAATTCCGAGTTGAAGTCATACCGAATTCACCCATTACCTTTCTGTTCTCAGAAGACCACTTTAAAAGTTCTCCTCTTGTATTTTCCCAATCTTTTTTCTTTTGGTTTGCTTCATTTGTGAACCTAACGAGTAGATATTATCATCTGAACGCCATTGCGAAGGAAGTGACCCCCACAGCATCGAAATCGATTCCGCTTTTCTGTCCATCAATAGCTGTTTAAATGGGTGGCGTAGGCCCTTCTAGCCTTGACGAATCGAGTTTCACTGGCATCTCTTCGATCCGGCATGAATGGCCGTTTTCACTTTCGCTAGTCAGTCGGCAAAAACCTGTTCAGGTCTTTTCTCTATCATAAGTCGTAAAGGTCCGTCGGCAGTTTCAATCGGATAGTTGTGAGCATGGACTTCTCTATTCATTTCTCTCCCCTTTCCCATTTCCTTTTCTCGTCATTCCTTTTTGTTTCATTTTAATCCATTCCCACTCTCTCTTTACACTTTGCACACTGTCGACCGGTGGTTCTGGTTGACACTGTTTTATTGCTACTTGTTCTCATCACACTGCTATCAATCTCCTCTCCAATCGAGCTCGGTTTTACATCCCTGAAATGTCGCATCGATGTCAGATTCAATAAGATTTTATATTTCAAGGTAATGTATTTGTACTATAATCCATTAAATTCGCATTGTTGCATATATATTTGGTGGCGTGATATTTTATGTACATGCTATCGTTATTTTTATAGTCATATTTATTCTTATTAGGTCGTTAAATTGCTGTCTTCCTATGTTTTTCATACATTACTAGATTCCCTATTTGACGTGATGATGTGGTGTCACAGAATTCGGCTGCATCAGTTGGGACTATTGAGAGCGATTATAAGAATGAAAAACTTCTGCATACAGCAATCATACGTCCTGATAATAATCAGTCTGGGTATAAAAATAAGCGATTACATGCTTATAAAGAAGTGGTATTGTGGTACCACAGCAGACCACCCCTTCTTTCACTCTACCCTGTTACGCTTGAGAATTTTCTGATATTCAGTTTAAACTTACCCTTTGCTTAATCAGTAAATTTACATTTTTATGGTGTAACTCTGTGTGTTTTCCTTCAAGGTAAACTTTATTCCTTGTTCCTGTATCACATTTAAAACTAGTTTCCAGTTATGGCATACTAAACGATTACCTGGACCGCAACAATGTATCAAACAATTACCTGAACAGCGAAAATTTATAGAACGATTACGCGAGCGGCGAGTATTCAGTGTACCCTTACTGCTTGAACCTTTCCTCAAAGACTTCAGGCTTAAAAAACTTCGAACAACTGTGGGCTGAGGGCCAGCTCGTAGTTGCTTTAGTGGAGTAAGCGATTGTTGGAGAAAGTGTATGATGGTGATCAAAATTCCATTCAAAAGTCCCATTCTTTCGGCTGTTGTACAATGTGATATTTTGTGTATGCTCAGAGCACGGTGTGGGAGAAGCTCAACTAGGATTCCATTCCCTTCTGAAGCCAAGCGTTTTGCCTGCAACTTGCCATCCCTAGTGAGTATGCTCCATAGTTTGGGCCAATGAAAGGTTGTAGGTTGTTTATGTGGACGAATCGGTGTAAATATTGATTGCGCGGTGCCATTGAATGGAAATGAACTTTCGAGAGCAACAAATCCGGGTTTTTGCGTAAAAAGTCGTTTTCACCGCATTTTGGTCGGATATCGCTTATTATAACAAAGACAGATTGGTTTTAACCAACAATTGAAAGATTTGTCAATAATATTTCAAAGTGTGCACTATCCTTAGCTGTCCTTTTTTAAATGAGCGTAATGCTGCGCAGCAATGGAGCTGCTTGGTAAGATTAATAGAATAGCCAGTTGATGGAGCCTTTTGGCTTATAATTATCACGGGAAAATGTTCTCTGGAAGTTCCTATCATTATCTTAGTATCATGCTATTCTTATCAATTGTTTATTTCAAACGTGGTGTTTTGATATTGCATCTGTTTCGCGAGATGGATCATTTTACTAGTTTCAGTTCAACAGACAGCAGTACCTCAACACATGGGCAGCGAAGTTTAGCAGCGTCGTCAGAGCAAAACTTAGGCGAGACTCCTCTGCTATTACGTGAGTTCCCGCTATTTCCGTTTCCGTTCTGGCTTTTTTAAAACACTTTGCGAGGGAGGTTAAAATGCTCGATAGAGTTGTCACCTGAACGCAATTTAAGCTTGAAATGTCGCCCATTCAGAAATGTCTATTTGAATCCTCCTTCACACTCTAGGTTCCCAGTTGTACTATGAAATAATTATCTGTTCATTAAACTTTGCATGGACAATCGGGATTGCATGCTGGGTTGTCCCTTCTCTTGTTGTTTTCTAGTGATACCAATTGAGGGCAGGTTATGTTGAATGATTACAGGAACAGTTACTTGGAGTAAACGATTACGTGAAAAGAGTTTACTTGGGACTTTATCTCAGCTGGGAGTCGTGTGCATATCATTTGCACTATAGGAGTATTTATCTGTACTAGTTGGCCGCGATTGGAAGCAGAGTTCTTCCTTCTACTCTCTGAACTTCTGTCAACATTCGCATTTTATGTATATTTAAAGGCTAATAGAATTCATATGGCGTATATTTGTAGGCTTATAGTAACTATGTGGCTTGTGACTTCGGAAGCCCAATTTAAACACTGGCGAATGATCAGGATTCCCAGTTATGTCCCCTTGTTCCTTCGATGGAAATGAGCAAATGATCGCGGCTTAGAGAATCCTGTGCTCCTCAATGTACCTCATTTCAACAGCTTATCCAATGATAAAGACCTCGATTTCAGATGAAATGTCATCCTCAGAAAGTGAGCGTAACAGAAATACCGACGTCCGTCACATCTACATTTCTGGGGGAGGAACAGAACAAAAGACCAGATTCTGCTCTAATAGAATCAGGTTGAATTTTACTCGCCTTATTTTTTCTTTGTTTTATTTCTTATTTCATATTCATATTTCTCTTTTAGTACTTGTAAATACAACCCCGCATCGTTTCTTCCCCGATTTTTATATGAGCAGTTTCGTCGATATAATAATATATTCTTCTTGACGATAGCCTTACTTCAGGTAAGATAACTTTTATCATTATTTATCGTTTACTCCGATTGGAGGAAACAGGTTTCGTGTTTCTCAATTTTACGCGAAAAGCAAGTTGTTCATTTCAGCAAATTCCTGATGTTAGTCCTACTGGAAGGTATACAACCGCTGTGCCCTTTATGATTATTCTGTCCGTATCAGCTATTAAAGAAATTTTTGAAGATATTGTGAGTAATTATATTAGTATTTGGAATTTTAGTCAGAAAATGGTTCATTGTATTTCTGAGTTCAGAAAAGGCGGCGAGCTGATCATAAAGTTAACTCTTTTAACACGTTGATATTGAAGGACAAGGCGTGGCAAACTCGACCATGGAGAGATGTATGTCAAGGTTTCATTTATTTCCTTTGCTTTTCAAGGCTTTGTTATTTTTAGATTAGAGTCGGAGATTTAATTCGAGTGGATAATGATCAAATGTTCCCTGCTGATTTGCTCTTGATTTCGTCGAGTGAACCGCAAAGCATGTGTTACATTGAAACCTCTAATCTAGATGGAGAGACCAACCTAAAAATTAAGCAGGTATTATTTTTGTTAACGTATTTCAATCCTTTCTCATTTTCCTCATTCAGGCGTTGCCTACCACTTCCTCGCTGGTTACACTAGACAAACTAGTTGAATTTGAGGCTAAAATAGAGTGTGAGCTTCCAAGTCGGCATGTGAACGAGTTCAGTGGTAATCTGATCACGGATGAGCCCCGGCCATTCGGTGAGCTCACTATACTGTTAATGACTGCCTGCTCACGGCTGGCTTGTGCTTTTGGTTTTTCGTTCCTTGTTTGTTTCTGAATTATGAGTTCAAGCCATACTGTGCAAAAGATTTCTTTTTTCGCTCTTTCTCCGTTCAGACTTTTCTCTGGCGTGTTTAAACTTTCATACCGATATCTCTTCAATGTTCACTCGCTGTGCAGTAGAAAGCGCACATTTTGAAGTTTGGTGTAGCTACACGATCTCCTTGTGCTTGTGGTCTTTTGAGAAGGGGTATGTCGACCAGGGCGCGGATCTACTTTTTTCTGCAGTCTTATTTTGTCTGTGATAGCCCATTAAGAACTTATCTTTTCTATTACATCGAGTTTTATGATATGTTTTTGGGGCACTCCGCTCGAGAAATAGATTCAATTGGCTGAATTTCAGCAATGAGACTTTTGGTGTTTGTCGTTTGAAACATTCATCAAATGCGGTTACTGCCTATTCTTTTACCTTCATCTTTTTCTAGTCAGAGTTTCCGCTGTTTTCGTGAGTGATCGCTTTGCTTTTAGGAATCGATCAGTTGCTACTTCGAGGAGCTCGGTTGAAAAATACACCATGGATCTTTGGTGCCGTTATATATACTGGACATGACTCCAAACTTATGATGAATTCAAAAACGGCACCCTTGAAGAAGTAAGCTTGCCCATAGAATAGCAATATTTAATCTGCCTGCTTTCCATACTTTTCAAATATCCTCTATTTATTCTAGCGGGACTGTCGATAGGAAGACAAACTTACGCATCATCTTTCTGTTCTTCGTCCTAGTTGGTTTAGCCTGTATCAGTGCAGTAGGTGCTGAGTTTTGGAGGAGCTCTCATTTGCCACAAGCTTGGTACATCTCCTTTTTACGTGGGTTTTCGAATGTGTTGCTTTGATTTTCCTTTTATGGTGCGTTAGTACGACAGTGACTTTCAGAACATGACGCTAGGACGTCGTTTCTATGGCATGTTTTGACGTTTTTCATCCTCTATAACAATTTGATTCCTATCAGTTTACAAGTCACCCTCGAGATAGTCCGATTCTTCCAAGTTCGTTCTACTTCGCTTTCGATTGATTACCGGTTCTCCGGACTGTCTTTGATTTACCGCATTGGTATCTATTGCAGGCTGGATACATCAATGTAGACCGAGAGATGTATGACGCGAACAGTGACTCGTGCGCCATTGCTCGGACATCGAATCTGAACGAAGAGTTAGGATTGGTACGTTTTGTGATACGCTTTGTACTTGGACTTGGCTCTGCATTTTTCATGAACGTTTTCTTATGATTACTGATCGTAGGTTAAATTTGTGATGAGCGACAAGACGGGGACCTTAACAAGAAATGTGATGAAATTCAAACGTGTCTCTGTTGCCGGAAGAATTTTTGGTGACAACGAAACTGATGAGTTCAACGATGAAGACCTAATCGATGAATACCGAGATGCGCCTGTCAGTAAGAATTTCAGTAGTTCTTCTTTGCTCGCACAAATCAGCCTCGTTTAGGAAGGTGTGAACGGAGTACAAATCAAAGAGTTGTTGACTATGATGGCTGTTTGTCATACGGTCGTGCCGGAGGAGAAGGATGGAGAGGTGTGATAAATAATTTTCTATTTATGAAACAGCATTCAGTATTTGATTGTATTTCAGTTGTCATATCAATGTTCGTCACCTGACGAAGGCGCTTTGGTTCGTGGAGCAGCTAGTCAAGGATTCGTTTTCCATACACGCAAACCGCAAGAAGTGATACTGTCTGTGGTAGGTCCTCGACTGGCAGTTCGAAGAATAGTTTATACGCTAGATCCATAAGAGGCTTGTAGTTGTCCAAATTATGTGCGAGTAGAACTAGTAGTATAATAGTTGGCTCTAAAGTAGTAGTGGAAGTATAATACACCTTAAGAAGCGATAGTAAGTGCCTATTGCAAAAATTTTAAGTATACTCAGTGAGTTGGTCAGTTACTCAGGTCATACAAAACCTCTATTATAATGTTATCAGAGCCAGGATTATGTGCATATTGGCATGGTGTTTATCTTTCTTCATTTTTACGGTTATGCGTGACTGGCAGATGTCCACTTTTTTCTTTTTTCGCAGATGGACACTAGAAGTCAAGGATAGAAGTTGCAGAAAATGCTATTTTTCACTTTCTTCCAAAGTCCTTCATTATTGAGTCCTTGTACGGGGCGAAAAACCAAACAAGGCTACGGTCTTTACTGCTATTTCATTCATTCCATAGGAGTAATTAAAACACTTTGCGTACTTTCGTAGTTGGTAGGAAACGAACACAAAATATTCAAGCATTCGTTTATTTAGTTGCGTAATTAAATATTTTACTGATTTATCAAAATTGGTTACAAGGTTTTGAGGCTTTTCTGCTTTGCTAGGTGTACCACTTGGTAATTTTTCAGTTAGATGAAGACGAAACATATCAAGTACTTGATGTTATCGACTTCACGAGTGATAGGAAGAGAATGAGTGTTGTGGTACGGGATCCTTCAGGTCGCATCAAGCTGTACACGAAAGGAGCAGTGAGCTTTTTTTGGATCTAGCTTTTTCAATGAAGGGTTTGATGTTCTGGGTTTACTCTGTGTGTATTTAGGACACCGTTATATTCGAACGTTTGGTTGAAGGCTCTGAGGGAGACATCGATTTATGTCATGCGCATCTTGAAGACTTTGCTTCGTACGGTTATCGCACACTGTGCTTCGCTATGCGCGTGCTCGAAGAGGTGAGACCAAGCCTCTCGTTTTACGTGTGGATTCCGAGACCATTGAAGGCTCTGTTATTCTGTAGCTCTCGGTAATAGAGAAGTGAAAAAGTGAACTGCTAGTACACACTCACACAGTAGAACAAAATGAACGCAGTAGATTAGTGCAGATGGAGTGAGAGGGATGCTAGTTCACTTTATTCTCCTCAAGCTGAATTTTTGAATAAAGTACGCTTTCAGGAAGAGTATCGTAATTGGTCGAAGGAATACCGTGCCGCCGGAATCCTCATAGAAGGCCGCCAGAAGGCGTTGGCAGAAGCAGCGGAAAAAATCGAAGTGAGAATGAAACTGGTCGGAGCAACCGCCATTGAGGACAAACTCCAAGAAGTTAGTTTACCTTTCTAGTTCAGTTCTTTTTCATTCGGTAATGCACTCGTATTCAGTTCGTTCCGGAAACGGTACAGGCATTGATGGCTGCCGATATGCGTGTTTGGATGCTAACTGGAGATAAAAGGGAAACTGCCATCAATATTGGTATGTTGTGATAGTATTATACATATTAAGTGCAGTTAGTTGGCAAACTTATGAAAGTTCCGGTTTTTTTTTGTGTACCCAGAAACGGGTTAATATTAGTTTCTCTTCTTACAGTGAGTTTCAGGATCATCTATTTTTTCAGAAATATACTTTTTAAAGGTTTTTCAAAGTTACTTCGAGTTGCAATACATATTTTTGATTGCTATTGATGACAACTGAGAAATGTTTGACATAAATAGAGTGCAACGTCAGCATTTCAGAAGTTTACTCGTAGTTTTTATTGAATTCTTACGCAGTGTTTCAATCTGTTTGAGTCATGCTGGATAATAGGTGTCGCGTCTATTGGAAACAAATCATTTTGACTGATAGTTTGTGGTTCGGAGGTGTTTCAACTCTGCAACCGCCCTCACATCACCACTGTTGCCTCTTCTCTGGCAAAAAAAGGTAGTTCAAATCGATGTCGACTAATCCGATGTTGAACCTTCTAGTTTTGTCAAATTGAGTTTCTACTGCTGCGTATGTTGTCTATTTTCCTGCTATTACGCGCGAAAAAAAAGCTTGAAGCTCTTTGATAGTTAATATTGTTATCGGTCACAGTCATACAACCAAAGTTTATGTCAAACATTTATGTTCTGTTTACTTTGTTCTTTAGTAGTTTCAATGCTGCAGTCTCGTGATGTGTAAAGTGAGTCCTGTTTCATACATTCTTTTTCAGCTCACTCATGCGCTTTGTGCCATCAAAATACGGAACTTTTAATAGTAGATAAGGATTCGTATGAAGATACGTACACGAAGTTGGTGCAGCTGGCCAATCGCGCGAAACAACTCGACAAGGACCGGAAGTAAGTCGAATTCGTTTCTGGCTGAATTTCTTACTTCAGTAATGATATTTAAGAGAATTCGCTATGATTATTGACGGAAAGTCGTTGGTTCATGCGTTGGTTGGTGAATGTCGACCGTATTTCGGTGAGCTGGCAATGAAATGTCGCGCCGTTGTCTGTTGCCGAATGAGTCCGATGCAAAAGGCTGAGGTACGTCATTGTCAATATTTCATCATCGCAGAAGCTTGTTGAGGTGTTCTGTGCAGGGACTGCTAGCAGTAGCGAGTAAAGTTTTATTCATTGAAATTATTGAATGCATTATATATTCCGTACCACAGTCTCCGCGGGATGACTATTCTGCTGCATTGCGCTAGCATTGCTTTTACACTGTTAGTGGTCTCGAANTCGAAAGTCTTCATGAAGTATTATGTGCGTCTAAAATGGGAAAAAGAGCCGTATTCCCTACTGAATTACTCGTTTAAGGTAGTCGAGATGGTGCGGAACCTCGGAGATCACGTTGTAATGGCTGTTGGCGATGGTGCTAACGATGTTGCAATGATTCAGGTAGGCCAACCATATGTTATTCTGTCACCTGTGCATGAGAACAGATTGTCATCACCCGTATTTAGGCTGCCAATGTCGGTATTGGAATTTCCGGAGAAGAAGGACTGCAGGCCGCATCAGCTTCAGATTACGCGATTCCTCGATTCCACTTCTTGAGACGATTATTATTAGTGGGTGGCCTTATACATACCTTATATGAAGTTTCTTGCTCTTATCTCTTGCTCTTGAGGTCCATGGTGCTTGGAATCATGATCGATCCGTGAAAGTTATACTCTACAGCTTTTACAAAAATATTTGCCTCTACATAATCGAATTGTGGTAAGTCCAACACTTGTGTTAATCCCTGTTGCAAGCTTTTCTACCCCTGGGTGATACCCTTAGAACCAGCATTTTCGAGGAGATGTAGTAACTTGCAGTGTTGAATAATTGACATGACTTCTCCTGAGTAGAGTTTTCTTGAATCTTCCAACATTTTCTTGACACGAACCTTTGCATAACGACATAAAGGCATATGACCGCCATAGGTATCGATTACAGGTACAAAATTTAGGTTTGCGATCTTTTCCGCATGGTCTGGTCAAACGATATTCGAACGATGGACAATCGGGCTGTTTAATGTTGTCTTTACGGCATGGCCGCCAGTTGTTCTTGGGTTGTTTGATCGCCCAGTCGACGCGGACATCATGATGCGGCATCCTGCACTCTATCACAGTTTTCAGAAGCGCTCGTTTTCCTTATGGGTAGGTCTAAATTGGAATTTTGTTATTCTTCTTTAGCAGAAAATTTTCTTTGTGAAGCTCTTCTCATGATACACCATTTTAGCAATTTTTCCTCTGGATCGGCATGGCTCTTGTACATTCCCTCTCGTTATTCTTCCTTTCCTACGGATTTTTGCACACGATTGTTTGGAGCACTGGTAGAGATGGTGGATGGCTTATGTTCGGAAACAGCGCGTACACGGTATGTTCGATAGACGCAACTTTCTTTCCACAATTTGAATCCGCTCAGTTTAGTTTGTGGTTGTAACGGTATGTCTGAAAGCACTACTCGAGTGTGATTCATGGACATGGCCAGTTGTAGCAGCTTGTCTGGGCTCAATCCTCCTTTGGTTACTTTTCCTGCCCTTCTACTCTGTGGTATGTAAAGTGATTCAATTTTGCTAGCTTGAGACATGTTCTTACCGCATTTTGTATCAGGTGTTTCCCACAATAACTTCGCGACTCGGCGGAGAAATGGCTGGTATGGCATGGATTATGATGTCTTCATCATCATTTTGGTGTGCTCTGTTATTCGTTCCATGTGCCACTTTGATTTGGGATCTCGTCATCAAGAGGTGAGCTTCACAGGGCCTTGCGTCACCTTTTTATGAAATCATTTTCTTGTAACCTTCATTCATGCATTCTCACCATGCGCTAAAAGTAGTTTTAAAAGGGGTAAGCATTGTGCACTAATTTACGCATGTTAAACTGACTTTGTTGTTATTTTCGGTTCAGATTTTGTTGGGTTGAAGCCGATTTTAGCAACTTTTTTGAAAGTCATAACAGCTGTGATGAGGGAGCCTTTGATGTTCTGTTTTTTCGTCTGAACAACTAAAAGTCAGAAACGTGACAAATATGCGACAATTACTGCAGTATAAATCACAAACATTGGTGTGAGCCAGTGTCAACGGTGATTTTAGAAATTTCAAGTTGAAATCCACAGATTTTATTTTCTCAAATTGCCCTTGACAAAGTCTCATTTGGAGAATGAAAGGCCTTCGGGTTTAATGATTCGGAAGTCATGGTCATTTTAGTAGATAGTAAATGGAGTTTTATTCTGAAAATCTGAGTAGATGAAGAAACCGTCTTTCTGATAGGCAACCATAAAAAAAGATTATTCGTTGTTATCACTAGATTTTGCACTTGGGACATTCAAAAGAAGTATTTTGAACTGCAAATTACTCCACGGTTCCTGCATACATGTAAGCAAAGACACACAACAAGCATAATTAAATGGGAATGCGTAAAAGCTGGTAACTCGTAAAATGCTCTCTAATGCAGTGGTCACAACACTTAATTAAAGGTAATGAGGAGAGAAGTCATCAGAATTATCAAAATTACTCTCACTTGTCTGATCTTTGATCTGATCAGCCTCTAAGGAATGTGGTAGTGAAATAAGTCACTTAGTAATTGTCATATTTCATTGTAGCTTATTCACTATCACATTGCCGACTCCACGAGAGATGGCAGTGATGGAACTGAAGGGTACGACATCATCTCCAGGATTCGAACGGTTAGCAAGGTTTGTTATGGGATTAGTTAAGTTCTGCACGTTGCATTACCTAACCGTTGCTGAGTATCCTGGGTTACCTGTCTCGGGCAGTGAACCTAAATAGCTTTCAGAGTATTTGAAAAAATAACTAGTAGTAGCATACTTCACGTGTTCTGAAGTTTCATTCAGAAAGCTTTGATTTCTTTGGAATATCTCTGAATTGCTGTTGGCTCTGACCATACAGTTGGTCACAATGAGAATGTTACAAAAATTACATAAAGCTATTTGTATTATCAAGCTTTTTAGTGGTATCTTGTAGAAATTGCCGCGTCCATGACCAGCTACTGTCAATGAGCTAATCACGGTGACTTTAACAGTGTATTAGCAGGCGATTTGTCCAGTACACAATGTGATTGTGCTCTTTTCTTTTCCTCTGTTGCTTTTCTTTTCCCAATTTTACTTTTTTNTTTTTTCACATTTCGCATGATTCACTACTGTGTCGCCTCAACGTGATTAGCGTCCGTGTGATTTGGTGTTCGTCTTTAGAAAGTCATCGCGAGTTGCTGTGGAAAAGGCCCCATTCAAAAATGGCAGTGGTCCTCATTTGGAGCCATTACGTGAAACGTCACGTCTCCATGGACACGACAATCCCACATTGGAATACGGTAGCACGGAAATGGTAATGTTCGGTTCATCGAACGGCGGCGATTCGTCCAATATCACCCGGATCTCCATCATGCCGCCCGAGCGATTCTAGCTAACGAGACGGTTGTGTGCGGTGCCGATCTCCACATCTTCACAGTCTGGTTTGTATCTTAACAATCTAATCACTAAAAGTTCTGTTTGTTGATCATTCCAATTTTTTGAATGGCTTTTCCCCGTCCTACTGTGATGTGAAACCTTTCCCTCTCATTTGCTCTTACCATACTTGATGACAATTGTGAATGGTGGCGACTGCACTTTCGTTGAAGTATTTTTTGGGTGNGGCATGGCTGTGACGTCAATCTTAGTCGCTGAGGTATAATCTAAGATTCCCGAATTTCGACAGCCACTATCCACTTCAAGTGGTGGCCCAGGGTTTGACTGTTTGTGAAATTTCTAGCTGGATCGGCCGTTGCTTTGTCATATCGAAGAGGTTTGTTCAGTGTTCCATTTCTGGGATGTTGTCCGTTTGTAGGCATGTTTGGTTTGTTGTTGTTGTTCTCGTCGAGGTCAGGCATGGCAATCCATACGACTTTCGGTAGGTGGAGGAAGATCGTCTAGTTCCGAGGAAAGATCGAAGAACGGAACAGCGGGGCCAACAAAAGGAGGTGGTTAGGATGACTCACTTCTAGCTGCAGTAACAGTGTTCTTGAAGTTTGTTTCAAGTTCATCTATTGGAAGTTCGTCTCAGTTAAGCCTAAGTTTATTTTGTGAGCGGATAGGGTGTGGTAGAAACAAAGGCTGAAGGTCTGCAAGTTTTCTGATAGGGCGACGGCAAATGATGGGACAGTCCCATACAGCTAATCCATGATGCCTCCTGATTTTTCTGTAGGATGTGCCCTGGCTTGGCCTTGAATGAAAAATTGTGGTTTTAGTTCGCCTGATATGGACTTTTTTCTGATTTCCCAATTCTTCGGGCATGTACCATTAAGCCAATCTCAGGACGACGTGAATCTCCCAAACGAAAGCAAGAGTTTGCTGAACAAATGTTGGAAAAAGGCTGAAAGGCTTCTCGAGGCGATGTTGTGGCAGCTTCTACATAGATGTTGAGGCTAATTAGCGAAGAAAGCTTTTAACTAGCTCCTTCAATATGTCATTTCAATCTTTTGCGCTTTGTATAGTAGAGCGTGGTAAATATGCTTTCGCTTTTCTTCAGTTTTCCGGGTTTCGGTCAAAGCTGGAGGCTTCTGCAACTTTGCTATTTTCTTGGTTCGCTATAACTTTAGTGCTACCTGGTTTAGACTGCATGAGTGTGTGATTTGGCTTTTTTATTCTGTGATGTGGTGACGCATGAATCTACAGATTGAGCTCGTGAAAGAGCTCTTCTTTTGAGTTCCTTTTGAATCCATTGCGCGATCGTTCATATCAGTGGTATTATTTGGTGATTCTGCTGATTTTTGGTGCGACGTCCTCTCTCGACATGAAAAACGTAAACTTTTCACCCGAGGATAAACTTCGTGGAAGCTTTGCGACCCTACTATAAAAGGGATATTAATATGGAAGCGGTCTTCCGGCGACTCTGATAGGAAGGAGTGGCCACTCGATAGGTTTATTTATGAAGAAACTATTCGCTCCCGACTGGAAGGGCTCATCGCCTACGCAAAGCCTTCTTGTAAGATTGAGGGAACGCGGTACCTGCTCTTTTTCCTTATTGTCTGCAAATTGTTCTTGAGGTTCAAAGGTAGTCAAAACACTTTGTCCTGCTCGGATTTTCGGAGTCATGAGTGGTTTTTTTGTGAACAAATTGGATGGGTTGATCATGGATGAGGAGGTGCCATTGCAGTCAACATGCCTGATGAAAATGAATGTGGTCGACCTAAGTAGACGACCAAATGCTAACCTGTACATCTGCCCAGCACTTTGAAGTGGTTTGGGGTAGGTTTGCTATTCTCTAGGATTTGTTTCCCTGCGATTCATTAAGAGCATCGATAAAGTGACCTGATACTCTTCAGAACAAACGAAGACGTTTCCTGAAACCCGACAGAAAAGGGTATCGTATGATTTCGGTCATTTTTTTTTTCTGGTGCAAGCGAGCTCAATCAGTTTTAGGTTGTCGCGTAGCCTAGTCAATATATGTTTTAGTCCTAGTACTTTACCCTCCTCAAATTCGGTGCCATCAGACCGCCGATTTTCGATGGATCAGGGTTTAGTTTGTGAGGCACCACTCCGGCCGAGCTGCTGATCGCAGTCCTACTTGTTGGAACCCTACCTCCTCTTCAAGTATTTAAATTAGCCAATAGACATTTTCATTAAGCGAAAATGAACCAAATAGTGTATTGGCAACAATAAAAAATGTTGACAGAAACTCGTTATATCTGTGACTATTACGTTTGAGAGGATGTTAGACCAATGTTCAGTGGATTCAATACTGTCAAAATATCGGTATATTACTATTACTTACATTTTGTTTCAGTTATTCCTCATCGGTACTGGAAAGTGTGCGACTTCTTCGTGATTCTCTTCGTTCTGATCGACATCTTAGTGGTTCGTCATTGTCGCTCGCTGAACAGGCTAGATGTAAGTGAACATTTGTTAAGATTGTTTGTAAAGTTTCATGACAGATACGAGGTTTTTTGAAGACAAAGTGAAAATGGGTTGTTTTGCTCCTTACAGAAAGTTTTCGCCCTTTTCGAACCTTGAGATGTCCAGCTTAGAGGGCATCTAGGAGTGAAGTAGAGCTGGGGAACGAGCGTGTAAATATGACTAGTGTTCCCACAGGATCCTGGATGACTTTGGATCCATCAGACACATGACGCGGACCATGAGGGATAGGACGTTCAGCGAAATAGAATTTAAGTGAAGGGGGAGATTTTTTGGAGGTTAAAAGCGCTTCAAGAGGGGTCTTCTTTCCTTATGCTGAAACGGCATGTTGTGCGGCGAGACTGCTAGCGAGCAGTTACCGGTCAAGGCATGTCGCAGCAGAGCAACTAGCTAGGAATCACCACCTGCTCAGCGGATTGGGCACCGTCCCTTTACGCATCACAAAAAGCACATATTTCAGATGGTTATTACGCATCACAAAAAGCACATATTTCAGATGGTTATGCTTTCTCTCAAGAAGAAGACGGTGTAATTGCGCAGACTGAGTTGGTGCGTTACGCCGACTCGACAGTCGCGAAACCTTCAGGAATGTGATTATGTAGACGTTCTCCTTTTTCCCTTCCTCATCTGCGGGTCATCTGCGTCGTACCCTCTGTTGTTATTTTTTGCATGTGTTTTCATTAGTTGCTATGAATTTGATCGTTCTAATAGTCTAGAAACTTTCTCATATAGTAGTGTCACCCTTGATACTGTGATAGTTAATTAAAGTACTAAATTTAAGCTTAACCCCTGTCATGATCGCTTAGAATACGAAAGAAACATAATAAGTGCCTTGTATATACAGCAAATGATTTCCGAAACAATTAAACCTGATGTTGTTGTTGCCCGCTTTTTCACTTATTCTATTATAACAGGTGGATGTATTTCGTGGTATACATTGTCTTCGCCGGTTTTGATAGAATGTCTGATTTTTTAAAATTTCTCTCGTTTTTTCTATTCGTCCGTTCACCGCTACAATTTCCTTTCATCGAGCTTTTGAATTTGTTCAATTGAAATTTGTTTGCATAGGACACCCTATGAAGGCCAATAAAAGTGTCTTTAATCCTGGTATTCCCAATGTTTGAAGGTATCGCTCTTGGTAGGTACCGCAATCCCCTGTTTCCGCAGCATTTTTTTTTTGTGGACTGGTCGAGTATGTCTCTAGTTTTCAAGAGAATTGAGAGGAATGCCTGAAACACGCGTTATCACATTCAAGGGATTCAGGACGATTGTGATTTAGTGATCGTTGTTGAAGCACTCAGATGCCCGGTTGGGCCACTGAAGCCTCTTGAGCCTCCGGTTCTGCTCGAATGCTTACTCGAACACTACATGAAGTTCTTATTTCAAGGGCTACCTCTTGGCTAACTTAGTCAATTCTGAGCTTCTTAGTAAACTTTTTAGTTCAAGCGCATAATTGAATTCCTTATTCGTAATCTATACTTACATTGTTACTGTCGCAGTTATTTTTGTCTATTCAGTATGGCGCTCGTGGTACACCATTTTTCGTGAGAAGCTAATGTTTGTACATGGAGCTTCCCCAAGAATTTAGGCCTACGGGTAAGGCAAGAGACGAGTGGATTCTGTTGCGACTGCTATAAGCAGCTCGTCATAGGCTTATAGTACTGCTAAAGTTCATCTTGTCAGATTTTTGTACCACTCTGGGCTCCCGAAATCAGTGTTGGAGAAGACGGGAGAGTAAGGGCAACTGTAAAAGGAATGAGGTTAGTTGCCTCATTGCTATGACATCCGTTACCAATTGGTGCTGTACTTCTGAAATACAAATGTAATGGATCTGGTGGAAGCATGCACAAAGTGTTAACCAGATTCCATAAAACCATTCCTTTCATCTCATGGGATTTCATAAAACCTTCTGTTTTACTTCCTGAGGATTCTGGATTGAAAGTCTTATTACACATCTCTTCCCTTACCTGCTTATCATTTGCGTCGTACACATTTTATTGTTTCTCCCCCACCCTGGTGATGAGCACAAAGACCTTATGCTGACTTGAAAGATCCAAGAGCTGATCAGCGAGAGCGATATAGGGCTCATCGACTACTTTTCTCACTTGCGATCGAACATCATGACTTGCATTTGTTAAGGCATCAAGTATCATGTGGGATGGGCACGTCATAGCCTGGGCAGAAAGCATCGGGTGAGAGAAATCACCCATTGGGACCCGTGCGGGTTCAAAGAAGCCAGGAGATTATCACAAAAGTAAGAAAGGTATTGGTAGGTATGATCGGTTGATTGACCAAAGGGTTATAGTCTACCAGGCGATGTGGTGATAAATGAAACCTATGACAGTGGCAGTATGAAATGTGACATGATCCTTCAACCCTTGAAAAATCCGTTGAGTGAGAGCAGGTGCTGATGTGTAGTATTTTACTGTACTTTGAAATTAGCTGTGGAGTCGGAAGAATGGTCTAACACGTGTTTTTCTTCCTAGTGATCTTTTTACGACACAGTAGCCCCATTCCACAGACATACGCACCGGTCTGTGGGACAGTTCTTTTCGAAGTGAGACTTTTCGAAATCGCTTCCGGTTGAGGACTTGATTTTTTGTATTTTATTTGTTTTTGCATTTGTTCAGATGTCTCATGTGATGCTGCTCGCCCATCCTTTTTCAGTATAACTCAGATTACAAGTCTGTCTATCGTTTATCGAAGCTGGGGAGACTAGTGCTTGATCCGACGTCGTTGGGTTCAGCTAGTACTTGTCATTTCAAGCTCTCACCTATTTGGGTAGAAATACTGGTATTTTATGTAATTCCATAGCTTTGAAACCGTTTTGTGTAGGAGTCGGTTGTTCGGAAACCTCGAGAGAAGAAGTTTTTCTTCAAAAACGGGACGCTGTGGAGTGGAAGGGGTAGCGTAGGGTAGGAAAGTGAAGGGTATTGGGGCGACTGGCCAACAAATCCGTTTATCCGACTCAGATGATTAAACTTTGAACAAGAAAAAGTATTTCTGCTTGAATGCCCTTACCATTATGGAGAGCTTGGTGATGATAAGTTGACCTAAGCCCCGGTCACCCGCACAGTGTCCGGCTTTTGTTTATTTTCGCCCCCCCCCCATCACCAACTTCCTACTCTCTTCTTTTTCTGGTGGACTCACCTTTTTCACTCTTCTCTTTCGCATGCTATGTCGATTTTTGAAGACGGAGCGGGGCGCAATTAGGCGTGTAGACCTCTCTATACGGATTGATTGGGTCTTTGATTTACTCTCGCTTTTTCTATGATGGTATCCATCGACTTGCTCATTTTTAAATAGTAGGAGCTGAATAAGTTCCATTCGAAAAGTGTTTGGCCAATCCACGCGAACATTAAAGCTGAACGCTTTGATGGCTCGGTGAAGAAGTTTGATAATCGATGACTCAGATCGGTGGTGCACCGGTCCCGTGGTGTAGCGGTTAGCACTCAGGACTCTGAATCCTGCGACGGGAGTTCAAATCTCCCCGGGACCTTCAGCTTTTGCAAACGGTAATTATATCATTATGGCAAGGATCTCAGTGAAAAACATACATTTAAGTCACCTGCATTGTTCAAAAGTTATTATTTGAGGTTTTTGAGGTTGTTCCTGGACTAATTGGAGGGATCTGTAGATCTGTTTTGATCAGCNCCGTGGTGTAGCGGTTAGCACTCAGGACTCTGAATCCTGCGACGGGAGTTCAAATCTCCCCGGGACCTTCAGCTTTTGCAAACGGTAATTATATCACTATGGCAAGGATCTCAGTGAAAAACATACATTTAAGTCATCTGCATTGTTCAAAAGTTATTATTTGAGGTTTTTGAGGTTGTTCCTGGAATAGTTGGAGTAGTGTTGTTCATTTTGTCAGGATTGATATGCCACTGGAAAGAAAGCTGTCCTTCAAAGAAACTTTGAATTTTCAAAAATTCAGATTTGAAGAGCCATACTTCTTTTGTGGTCTGAAATATGATATTCATTACGGGATCTGTAGATCTGTTTTGATCAGCCCTTCAGTTCAATAACAAGTCCTTCAGTTTTTCGATCCGTTTTTTTGTTTTCCTGTTCTGAAAAAAAATCTTGGATTAGAGTATAGGTTTCCCAGAGTATAGGTCACTCCCTTTTCTACCAATCGTATCAAGAGTCATTGTTAGAAACTCGGATGTTTGTCTACCTTGTACTTGCCAGGAATGACATCCAAAGTGTTTTCTTCGGTTTGGCTCATTCTTCGGTTGATTGGCATATTTCAACATCATCATCACCAACGAGAGAAGAGATCACTCAAAATGTTATAAAAGGATGTAAGACTGAAGTCTTTTGGCATTGATCTAGCTCGTTCCTGCGATGCGCCGTCGCATTCGACTTCCATTCCGTATTCGTAGTTGTGTTTGAACGCGAATGTGTTATATTATACAATGAGTTGCGGTGGCCAGCCGATGTACAAGTCAGTGCTTTCATCTTCCCTGACGAGTCTGGTTCCAATTAACTGACCCCGGTAGGATGGAAAAGGTGGTTGGCTCAGACAGTCACCGATCCGGTGTTCGAACCCGTGCCTATGCGTGGGAGATGATGCGCCTTTTGCCCATACACCACCTCCGCCGAGCGTTATCTTACTTACCTATACTTACTCACTTACGCTTACTTATTACCACTTACCTTTTTATTCGGCACCTTTATACTCTCAAACAAACTTAGTAGCAATTAGGCGAACTTGGAGGGAAAGAGGGTTTGGGAGCTGATCATCGATCTGAAACCCAATGTACAGACCATGGGTACAGTAGTGGACCACTTGCCACTGCAAGAGCTAATAGAAATCAAGGACAAGAGAGAACCATAGATACAAGAATCGATGTTAGCCGGGAGAATATGATATTCGAAATGTTGCTTTGAACATTTAAGCCCTCGAAAAAGTCCACCAAGTCTTCATGCGCTAGAATGACTGCAAAGCGGAATAACATCAAAACATTTTAGCGTGTTTCATCAAAACTTCACTATTCACGCATAGTCGATTGCTTTTATCGTTTTCACGTTTAATAATTATTAACATTATTACTCTTCTGAGATCAACTTCTTAAGAGCAACAGCCTGACGGTCGCCAATTTGATTGTGAAGCCAATGAGTAGAGTCCTGAAAGTGGAGTCGTCAAAAATGGTTTTAAAAAAATTCCAAAATAGCCTATATTTTATGAGGAACTTACGGATCGGTGCTGATTGGCTTTTTCGGTGTTTAGGAAATGGTAAATGTGCGACGAGGGAGAAAAGCTGAAGTAGAGAAATATTAAACATATGTGATTACATTTTACATTTAACTATTTGGATCGACATAATTGTTAGACTAGATATCTTGCATGTTATTACCCGGCATTGGAAGACCACAACTGATTTTGATGTTACCAGCCCGTTCGTGAGTCCCTGTCTGTCTCACGACGTCTTAAACGCTTGTCAGGAATTCGAATGGGTTAAGGCTCTATTGAAATCGTTAGCATTTTTGGCATCCCTCCCATTTTCTACCTTCTACCGCCATTTTTCAATAAGTCTTCTAGTTGATCTCATTTCTTTTAACTTTTTTTTTGAATTGTTGGAACAGTGCCGTGCGTGTGTAAGTGCCAAAGGATACGTTCCTAAGCTTTTAAGACAGTTTTTGATCCATCAAGTTATTGTTTCTCAGAAGTTAACTGCACATTGGTGCAGAATGTTGCTCACCTTCTGTTTTTTCGTTATAGTAAGCATTTTAAAGTAGAGCTGGATGACCACGGGAGGAGCTTTCAAAGTGAAAAGTTAACTTTCGAGAGCCTTTCCTCTTTTCAGGGGAGCCTTTCCTCTTTTCAGGGAGGGGTATTCTACTTATCTTGGAAATTTGAATTCAGACCCAGATAAATCGATAGAGTTCTGAATGCTGTTTACGAAAATGGAAATTAAAACTGCAAAGTGGTTCTCCTTAAAAAGTTATAGGGGCCAGAATTTTGTTCGACAGTAGTATCAATTGGAAATGCGAACTCGTCGCTTCCATATCAAACGCCCACGTTACCTAGTGGTAGTGGTCTCGCTTCGTGGGCGTAAAATGAGGGGTGAGGGGTCTGACATTTTTTTAGACAATTGATACTACTGTCGAGCGAAGCCGGCCCCCATAACTTTTTAAGGAGAATCATTTTGCAGTTTTAATTTCCATTTTCGTGA